GATAACATCAGTTTAAAAGAAGGTAATCCACAACTTCTAATATACTAATGTCATATCAAGAAAAAGAATTAATCTACTCTTAATAAAAAAAAGACAAAGCTTTGATATTATAATTATACTCTTTTCAAATTGTCAAGGATAAGAATTCAATGAAAGCAAATAAAAAAATGAGACTTTATTAAAGAAGTATGAAAAAATAGAAATAAAGAAGTATGTATATTAAAAAAAATTAGAATGGCTATTGCTAAAAGACAAGAAAAATAGAGACTCTTGAAACTAGACTAGAAGCAAGAAAGGAATTGATAAGAGTGAAGAAGACTTCATTCTTGTCTCTATATATACTATCCATATAAGAATTATATTGCGATATTCTATAGAACCTCCAATATATGTTGACTTTGCAAGCCACATGTTTTAAATTGCATAGAAAGTTTTTTATGTGTGCACCACATAGTTAACTTATTATACAAGCTACTTATACGTGTAATATGTAGCTAACTTGTTGTTCAAGTTTTTAACCTAAAAATAAACTTTAAACACTTATAAAGTCAAAATTATATTTATGATGCTTTTAGAAAGCTTTTCTAAAAGATATTATGGAATTAATCTACTTTTATTTATTTTTATCTATTTCTTTCTAATTTTATAGATAATTATTATAGTAAGTATATATGTTTGTGATAGTAGTTGAGCTCTTTTTTGAAGATTGATGGAAAAAGCATAAAGACAATGCTTTGAAAGAATATCTATATTTTTCTTTTCAAAAATGTCTTGATAATCTTAATATTAGTTTGAAATATCACTTAAAATCTTTTTTCTATTAATAATAGGTATGATTTTTATAGCAAAAATTGACCCTTCTTTTGTAGCATGCATGAAAGTTTTTGCACTTATCAATAATGGATTGGATGTATTTGTCTTATGAATTTTTATTTGCCTAGCAAAATCTTTGGCTAAATTATAGAAAAAATCATGTTTGCAAGAAATCTAGTCTATATAAGAGTTTTATTTTTTTTAACCATGATATTTCTAAAATAATTGGATTAGAAGAAAATTTAATCAGATTAAATGTTATTAAATTATTATAACCACTAGTTGCTACTTCTAAAGGAACAATTTTTTTGTATAACATCTAAAGAAGACAACAAACAACCATCTATTAATTATACATGTACATATTTGGTTTTTTTAAAAAAAGATATATCTTATTTTTTGACAAAGTCTTTATTTATAATACAAGCTAAGGCTTCTAAATCTTATAAGTCTAAGACTTTGTGATTTTTTAGTCCTAAATAAACTTTTATTGTGAAACAAGATAAAAGATGTGAAGAGAGAATAGGACCTTTACTAGAAATTACATAAGAATTCAGTCGCACAATCTCTATTGTAATTGGAAAAACTTGTTTTCTAAAACATTGTCTTCTTTGGAAATCATACTCTTTATTTTGTAATTACGTTGCTTCTTTGTATAATGTTACGTAGTATGCTTTGATTTTTCATAATATAGGCACAAACCTTCTTAATAGCAATGAATCTTTTTTGACTTAGTAAGAAGTTTAAAATATATTGGGTCAATTTACATAGGCTTTGGCATAGATAAGTAAGCTTCTAAAATTTTAGAAGGTGTTGCTAAGGCTTGACTTTTACTTCTTCAATCAAATCTCTATTCTTGACATCTTTCAAAGAATTGTTTGTTGCATGCAATGGCTTGAGCAATAAATTACTTAAATGAACTTGTTCTCAACATTGTGAATAATAAATCATTGACATTATTTTTCAATTCATATCAAAACTAATTGATAAGGACTTTGTCATTCCAATCCACATCACAAGCAAGATTTTTGTATTTTGCAATATATGTGGTTGCTGAATATAATCCTCATCATAATAGTATAAGCTTCATCTCTACTATCCTTTTTCAATCATTTTTTCTAAATATAGCTATCAATACTTTTAAAAATGAATTCAAATTATGAGATAGTTGTGAATCTTTTTCCATCAGAAGTACAAAGCAAAAAAGAATACTTCTTGATAGAAGTACACATATGAATCCAACTTGAATAAATCTATTGGAGTATTAGAAAGAATGTAATTTTAAATAGTACTTAATTTATTGCAAAAATCCTTGAAATTTAGATCTTATTCTATCAAACTTCTTGGTCATATTAATTCTTGCCTCCTTTGTGTATGCAAAAGTAAGACTTCTTGAATTTGATTGTGAGGCTCATCTACTTGCTTCTTTCAAGTATACAACTTATTAGCATAGACTTTGGACTTCTTCCATATGTGTAGGAATAGTGCTTCTGTGGTTGGCATTGGTGATACATGAAATTTCTACCCTAAGAGTATTGATAAGCTCATGAAAATCTACAAAAGTTACAAATCTTTTTTTTTTCTACTAAGTATAGTATTTATGATTTTTTCTTTTATTTTAAATAATTTAATAAATCTATAAGTCAAATTAAAAGAAGATAATATATAACCTCTAATATTAAATAAAAATTTCTATAAATAGGAATGATCTATATTCTTTAAATAAAAATCAATGCTAAAAAACTAAATTGTTTGTTTTAAGGTAGATAGTCTATTACTTTTAAAATATAATATTAGAAGCAAAGTAATCTACTCACTTCTAAAACAAGATAGGAATAATAAGTTAGCACTCTTGTCAAACTATCAATGATATGAATGTTGAAGAAAGAAAATATCAATATATTCTTGTGTCACTTGCAAAGACTAAAAAATCCTTTAAAAATGGTAATATATTGAATTAGAATGACTATTGCCAAAAATAAAAAGACCAAAAAGTCTTAAAACAAGACTAAGGATTAAAAAGGCATTGACAAGAGCAAAAGAATTCACTCTTGCCTCCATATATACTATCTAATTAGAAGTCATATAGCGAAATTCTATAAGACCTCCAACATATATTAATTTTGTAAAGCATATCCTAATTTGCACTGTAAGTTTTTTTTATATGTGCACCACATAGTTAGCTTGTTCTACAAGCTATCAACATGTGTGATATGTAGTTAATTTATTGACCAAGTTTTTAACCTACAAACAATTGCAAATACATGTAAAGTCAAAATTGTATCTATGAAGCTTATAGGAAGCTTTTTTAGAAGATATTATGAAATTAATCTACTTTTACATATTTTTATCTAATCATATAGATAATTATTGGAATAAATATGTGTGTCTATGATAAGTTGTTTCATAAAATATGTTTTTAGTATTTTTAGAAGGTTTTTTTTGTTTTCTTTTTAAAATTATTAAATTTATTACAAATTTTGATATTGGAATAATACTTATTTTAATTTATTTTGTACCATAATGATGATATAGGTTAAAGAATAATTTTTTAAAAAATAATATGGCTTTTATGTATATATTAAAAATATGTAAATTTATAAATATTAAGGTATTTTTTTATTATTATTTATTTTCTAATTTCAAACAATACATACTTCAAAGCAAGTCAATATTAAAGTGGCATGGAGGCATTAGCATTATAATATATATATATATATATATATATATTTCTAAATATATGTGATTATTTTATATTTAAATATAATAATAAATTTCCATAGCTTCTTTATCCAATTCGAATTATTGATGATTCGATACAAAGTTTATAGTACAGAATGAATGGGTCATAAAGCACATTCCGAATTAGTTTTAAAAAACTAAAAAAAATTAACTTAAAAGTAAAATTTAAGAAATTAACTAAAAAACTTAAGGATTATATATTAAGTAACACGCATCTTTATTTTTCAAATCCAAAAAAATAAGATTTTCAATATTATTTATGTTCATTGCATACAAACATTTGTCCATATTCCATCATATTAATAAATTCATGCACTGTTTTCATAGAAATGTAATTAAGCATGCAAAGAAAAATAGAAATTAAAGAAGAGAAATAGACCTAATCGTATTCAATTTCTTTTGAATAAATTATGCTTGTACTAAGATACTTTATGCATGCTTCATAAATTACTTGCAATCAAGAATTCAAAAGTCGGAATGAATGGGTCATAAAGCACAAATATTGCACACCATGGCTCCAATACTTTCTTCTTTACAAAAGTGAAATATCCAAAAAAATATATCTTCAGAAAGAAAAAAAGAAAAAAAGAAAAAGAAAAACGTTCCTCCTCCTTTTAGATAATATTTTCTGCAAAAGAACAAAAACTTAGAGAAAGCCTTTCTTTCCCTGTAAGATTCTTTGGAATTCAACCTCCTGCCCATTCCCCTAATTTAACGCCCTCCCATTGAACAAAATCAATTAAAACCCTAAAACTGTATACTAGTCACCACCCTCCTCCACTCTGAAGACGAATTATACATTTAGAAACGGGCTTGGAAACAGTTTGTTTGCACATGGATGGCGGTTTGGTGACCGTTTTTGACTACGTCAGCAGAAAGCTCATGGAAGCATCCTTTAGAACCCTTGTGGGAGGCTATTTCAAGCCTGCCTGACTTGACCCACATTGACATGAAAAGAATAACCAAAAAAAGAAGGAATAAGGAATCAGCCAAAAGGGAATTTTGCAAGCTAAATATGAAGGCTGACACCGGCTCTACACAACCTGGACCAAGCTTTTCCCTTAACAAAGTGTTATCTCGCACATGAGTATTTATTGATAATGATAGGTGAAGGTAAGATCTTGCCTACAAGTTAAATGAATAAATAAACAAATCTTTTTAAACCTTTCCTTTCTCTCTGGTATCTGAACCACCCACTTCCTCAGTACCTCACAACTGCACTATTTCAATCACCCACTCTACAACTTGCACAATAAATTGTTTTCTGTTCATGATGTGCGGAGATTTCACTTCTCCTTGTAAAGAGATCCCGCTCGTTGTCAAATTCTGTGCCTGCTCTCTGATTAGCAATGTAAAGTGTTGCATGCTTAATGCAACACATAATTGGCCTCTTAGCAGGGAATGAGGCAGCAGCATCGTCTTAAATAAGCTTCCTTGCCATATCCGGACTGTTTCAAACTGTGTGGATGTTGTTCTCGGCGCTGGTTGAGAGGGTGTGGGTGGAAGGTTTTACCTCAGCCGGTTGGAGGATCTGGAACAGGGTTGGGTGCCCGATCTGAAGGGAAGATTTCCATGAATTCCACGGTCTGTAACAGCAGCTTTTTTGTTAGAGGCAGCGGATGCAAGCCAAGTTTAATGCGATGTGAGTGCAACGAACGTGGACACTGTGTTTACGAGATTTAGGGATTCACCAACTTTGCCGACAGTTTTACAACATGAAAGGGTAGGGATATTGCGGTGGGAATCTCGGAGGTAGTAAAAGTGTGCGTACCGCATTGACAATGGATTCCCCCAGCCTCATGGACAAGTCGAATAATTGCTTGAAGCTCACATTCTGGATTCTCTCGCCATGGATGCTGCAGAATATGAATCACAGGGTTCATTGTTGTAAAACCGTCAAGGATGCGGTATGGTGGGCTGAGGGTTTAAGGAAATGCGTACGTGATATAGTTGGCACGTCTGAGGGCACATAAAGTTGTTGCAGTGAATAGGCATAACTGCACTCCATGCACTATAAATCCTATTGCAATATCAACGAGCAGAGCTATTTTGGATAATCTTTTAAGTTCCTGAACTGCTGTGATGGATTTGGCGAGGTTTCTCGCTCTCTTTCTCTATCCTGAGCTCAAACTCTCCAGAAAGTAGCAATCTGTGCCGAACTCGGATCAGCTTGCCCTAATTCCTTGTATTCGCCCAGACAATGTGTTTTTTTTTTAAAGATTGATTGACTCAAGCATCGACACTTCCACTGGCGTTAGTTAGGTGAGCAATTTCCACAGAAACAGCCTTCACATGTGTGGAAGTGAACATCTAAAACTCAAACGACGTCACGTTAAGGATGTGAAGAATCACGTTGCTTGACTCACTCTCGTCAGGCAGTCCAGATAAGCAAGTTCAAAACCTAACTGGCTTAAAATGAACAAGTTTCTACGCTGTAGCGAATTTTCTGAAGATACGGAAATCATCGCAGAGTCTGCAAAAATGAGGTTCGTATGCAGAGTTCCCTCTCTTCTCCTTTCTCTCTGTGTACATTGGGTTCAATTAGAGACGGAAGTGTAGGATTTCTATAGCAAACCATGTGAAATGTTGGAGTCAGCAGTACGAAATGAGACCGCATGCACAAGCCTATTGCCCCTGCAGTTATCGATTACGCTATCTAACAGATGTATTAGAAAAATTGAGAAGCTGCCTGATGTTCATACAGTTGAGAAGAAAACGACTTTTTTTCCTCTGGCGCACATTTGTCTTTCCTATTGACGATCGATATTCAATCCTTACTTACTTTGGGTGAGGATACCAACTAATTGTATAAGTTGGAATTTCAATGCATCGGGATTGTGAGCATGATTCTTCGAGCACAACTCGCACCAGATCTTAACAAACAAATCATTCTCGTCACCTGCGGACGATGACAGTTAAGCAAGTGATTCCAAATAAGCGTAATGTAAGCTACCAGGTCTGTGAGGCAGCCACTTATGAGCCCTTTCTCAGTCGCTCCTTGGTTCTTTGCTTTCTGAAATGAACCACCGATATAATGTGAAACCTTTATGAATTAGCCTCCATTTACATGCGGACAAGCAGCTTGCAAGTTCTGTGAGCATTGTGTTCCCATTGTTACACTCCCTCATACTAATGTCGAACTACTTTTATCCGACGTGACGATGCCAAGAATGAGGAGCATATACCAATAACTGAGAAGATTTCTTGCGGCTCTCTGAATGGCAATTTCTAATCAGCCTTCTCCAGAAGTATGAATAATGACGAGCTGCCTCGTCGACAACGTCAGATGTCGCCGACGTTGAGTGTTCAGTCCATCTGGACTTAAGTAGCTTTGATGTCCATGTTCGAGTCGCCGCTGGGCTACAAATGCAGAGATTATCAAACTAGACGCAACTTACATTGAAGGTCATTATAATCTCTGCTATGGATCCGAAGTGATTCTACTCCGCTTTGAATCTTTGCTGCTTGTTCGACTTGACATTCAGATGTAAATCTTTTCTAATAGCAATGTCCTGCTGCTGTTTCCTGCACAAAAAGCTTGTTCATTGTCATGAGTACACGATTCATCTGTTTGTGTACTTTTCCAATCCTTCTAATCCAGGTCGGGTAAACTCATGAAGCAAGTTTCAGAGACATAATCCGACTCCATATCTGATTCGAAGGGAAACAAATCCTAGTGTTCGGCATCTCATGTCCTTGCTCACGGCAAGTTAAGGTAAAGCGGGTTGTATTTCCTTCGGATCATTCTTCAACACAAACGGATTAAAAACCTGAGAGTCTTCGTGACCACAAGAATTTATCCAATCTAGTTTTAGTCCAGAACCCATCGTCTGTCAGCTTCATATCTGCAATCTCTCCACTCACTCACTGCATCTGCTTGTGAGAACAAGCGCCTGCTGATCATTGCGTTTGAAGCTTTATCTGCTAATTCATCAAAGACCAAAGTACTGGAAAGAGAAAGCTGATGCCAATCGAGATGACAGTACTCCACTGTCCAATCTGGACAAGTAAAGTAAACTTCTAACACGTTTTGAATGTCCTAAACAACTTTCCAACAACTTGCATCCATTAAATCTATTCTCTTCTCATCAATATATCCTCCATCTCTGTCTTCATGTAGGCCAAGCCCTCCTTCTTTGTTAAATATGTAGAACTTATTAACAAAGGAAAATACTAGCCCTTTACTTCACTGAAGAAACATGAACAGTTCGATCATCTTAAGTACTAATGAAACAGTAACCGCCAATGTCGAGATAACGAACAGAACCTGGAAAGGTAGGTTGCCTACAAATGAGACTATGATGCCACAGGGGCTGCTTTTATCAACACCCTCCCTCAGTGCCTGTGCGGGACTATTCTTCTATGTCAATGGAGGGACCACGCTGGATAACTCACAAGTTTTTTGAGATGGTTCTTTAAGTAGAATTTTCCTTGTTGCTGTATGGGCCATGTCGGTTTTATTCTTGCGATTGTTTAGGAGCGACTAATTTTTCCTAGATCTGAGGGTTTGGAGGAGATTCCGTCGGAGAATTTTGCTGGAACGTCTTCTGAATCTCAGAACCCCTTTGCCGCTGTTCGTGAGAGGAAGCCTTTGGTTTGTCAACATTCAAAGTTCTATGCCGTCCGTCGAGGATATCGTCCTGGAGTGTACGTTTCTTGGAGAGAATGCGAAAGGGAGATGAAAGGGTCCTGTGGAGCGGAATTCAAATCCTCTTGAAACAGGGAGGAGGCGGAGAATTTTTGTTCTAGAACTTGAATCTGACTGCTCCTAGTAATGTTTACTGCTAGAGTTCTACGAGACTAGCTGTTCTAATGGTGAGGCGCCTACTAGCTTGGCACTTACCAAGTGTAATTTAGATCTGAATTTTTCAAATAAACTTTTGTCTACTGGTTTTATGAGCAAATCAGCAAGTTGTTTGTGTGACCGTTGGAAAAAACCTGGATTTCCTTGCTTTCGATTTTCTCTCTCGAGTAGTGGTAGTGCGCCGATATGTGTTTCGTACGCTGGTGAAATACGGGGTTGTGAACCAATTTGATGGCGCTTTCGTTATCACAGTAGTAACTGTAGGTTTCTCTAGTAGTGAGTTGATCTAGACCGATTCCCTCGTTGCATCCGACAATGAGTGGTATTCGGCTTCTGTGCCAGGTAGTGCGACGGTTGGTTGACGCTTTGAGTGCCATGTGATCGGGCTGCTCCCGAGTTGAAAAATAAATCTAGTTGTGGATCTACCATTTTTCAATGTCACCTGCATAATCTGAGTCTACGTGACCCGTGAGTGTTGATTTCTCCCCTTTCACGAACAATATTCCGTGATCCCTTGTTCCGCTCAGATATCTCCAGATTCTTTTGACTCCCTTCAGGTGAGAGGTTTGGGGTCGTTGCATAAACCAGCTGCATATACCTACCGCTAGGCTGATGTCGTAGCGGGTGTGGGTGAGTTGGATCAGCTTTCCTACATGCTTTCGATTTAAGGTTGGATCGACTTCATCTTCTCCTGTGTCAAGCATGAGTCTCGGTTTGTCAATCATTGGTGTTGATACTGGCTGGCTATCGCTTAGGCTGAAGGTGTCGAGGCACTGTTCTATGTAGCAATTTTAGGAAATGAATCTGCCATCTTCCACTGTTTGAAATTCTGATGCGAGGTATACAACTCCCGGTCCCTCCCCAAGTGATGACATCTGAAGTGAGTCTCGAGTTGAGATCTAAAGTTCTGGATCCAATCTGGGCAGCTACTGGTGAAGAGAAGGTCATTGACGTAGGGCAAAAGAGTCAGTACTGCAGACTAGATCTTACTGCAGACCTGCTGCCTCGGTGAATGATTCGGGCTTAAGGAGAATGGTGGCGCTTCCGACGTAGTAATCATCCCACCAGGCCGATGTTGTCTTGCGACGACTAGTGAATGGTTCTAGTTTGCAATTCAGCGTTTCTGGATCATTTGGTTGGACGCTGTCATGGTGCGAATGTGGAGGCGCGCAAGTTTCTTGGGAGCTGAGGGGCGGCGTCGAAGTCGGCACCCGGTGCGAGGTTGTCTATTCAATAGTACAGTCGTTAGGGGTCATATCTTTTGATTTCTCGTGGGGACATATAGGTTGTTGAATCTGAAGTTGGTCAGGTTCTAGAGTCGGATTTTCTGATGAGATTCTTACTTCTGCGGGGAATGTCTCGTTTGTTCCTGCAGTGGAGTTGGGCACATTGGGGATGGTGAGTGCCACCGATGAAGGAACCCGTTCCTCGGGTATGATGTGCATCGTCGCTGTTATGTCTTGATGTTCAGTGTTTTTTGATGTTGTGATGAGATGGCGGGATTCGTCGAATGTGACATACCTTGTTACTGTGACTTTTTGAGTCTCTGGATCAAGCACCCTGTGGGCTTTGGCCGATTCGTCATAGCCGAGAAACACTGTGAGTTTGGCGTTCGGTTGCAACTTATTTCGATGAGTCTTGTCGATGTGGATGTGTGCTAGGCACCCAAACTTTCGCAGATGTGAGATGCTTGGCTTGATTTTGAAGAAAATCTCATCCGGTGACGTGCCGAAGTTGGATCTAGTGGGTGATCTGTTCATGATGTAGACCGGGGTTTTCGCGGCTTCCGCCCAAAGATCAAGAGACACCTTTGCTGCGAATAGCAACAGCGGATCTTTTCCAATATAGCTTTGTTCTTTCTCTCCGCAACGCCATTCTGTTACGGTGTTTGCAGAGCAGAGAACTGCCGCTTGATCCCATATTTTTCACAAAACCTAGTGAAGTGGAGAGATCGGTACTCCCCTCCATTGTCGGAGCGGAGAGTGCTGATCCGAAGGCCTGTTTGATTTTTAAACACACCGAATTTTTCGAGTGTTTCGCTCTTATTTTTTAGAAAATAAATCCATGTCTTCCGGCTGTAGTCATCCGTGAATGTTCGAAAGTAGAGTACTCCTCCCATGGAAGGTTTCGGTAAAGAGCCGCAGAGATCTGAATGAATGATCTATATTCTGCAACCTTCGGAATTGCAAGTCTAGTATGCTAACTAGTCTAACAAGTCTCGCAGATTTCCTTCACAGGCGGAAGTGTTGGCATCTCATCAGATTGCTTGCTCATGTGGGCGAGCGTGTCGTAATTTAAATGGCCGAGACGCCTATGCCATAATCTGGCGGTGTCTCGGTTGTTTTCTTCTCCTGCTGTTTGAGATGACATTGCGTTCGTGATCACTGAATGGGTTTCACTTGATATCTCCCCGGTAAAAAGAGGGGCTTCAATGTTGTGGGCTTCCAAACTGTTGGCGAAAGAGGAGAACTTGTACAACCCTGTCTTCGGATCCCTACTACCTACTGCGACGGTTTTTCATGGCTTTTTCAACGTTAGTACCAAGCACATTGATTTAGTGAATAAAACAAGATTTCCAGAATCCGTTATCTGTCCTATTGATAACAGATTCTCATTGAGCCCTGACACATAACGAACATCCTTAATCGTCTGTATTTCACCATTCGGCATCGGAATCTCAACACTTCCTCTGACTTGTATCACATGGTCGTGGCCCGAAGCCGATGTCACAATGCTATGTGATCTGTCTTGTTCTAAATTGGTAAACATGTCCGGATTGTTCGCGAAATGGCGAGATGCGCTAGAGTCAAGCACCCACTCATGGTTTTGATTTGTGTCCACTGCCCGAGCTGCCAGGGCCGCTTCAATGCTTTCGTCTGAGAAAGATAGATCCTCTCCCAACGTGTCATATACTAGGTTGCCTTCGTTAGATCTTCCTGAAAATGGTGTATATGATTTTTGGAAGTTTGAAGGAAGAGGTGCCGGGGCAGTGCATACCTTTGCGAAGTGCCCCGATTCTCCGCATCAGTTACACAGATCTGAGCTTGTGTAGCTTGCTCGAATGCCATTTCTTCTTTGAAAGTTTTGATAAGTTCCCCGACCGGTGTTGGAGAATCGTCCTCTGATAATGTTACGAATTCTCATTACAAGTACTTCCTCTTGGGTTGTTCCTTGCAGTAATTTGAGGTTGGTTTCTTCGAGGTGCAACCTGCTGAACAATTCAGAAATACTGGGGATTGTTTTCTCATTTTGAATAACTCAAACTAGAAATATCATTGATTTTTTATTAATTAAGATATCAATACCAATTAATACAAAAATGGTCATTTTTCATACCAATTAAATGATGAATACATTTCTCTTTATGATGTATAAATAAGACATCTAAGCTAATAAAATGATTTTCTTGAAAACATATATAAAAGTATATAAGTCATCATATTAAGATACTTTTTTTTATTTATATTAAATTTATCCATTTAAAGCATGCAAAAAAAATAATCTAAATACATTTATAATTTTTTTAATAAACTATGATAAAAAAAAAAAAAAAAAAAAAAAAACTATTAATTGAACTAAATTATAGAAAAATTTCTACAATACTTATAACATCAAAGTTTAAATAATCAATATATGCATTTAAATGATGTGATGGAGTGGAGCACAAAATGAAGATATAAAGCACAATTAATAAGAATGAGTAATTTGATAAAGCA